CTTCAATTTAAAAAAAACTAGGAATACTAGGAGCTTTTTGTAAAAACTAGGAACCAATTCAAAAAACTAGGAACGCTGGAGAGCCTGCATAGAGGTACCCAAGACAAAGCCACGTGGTTGAAAAAGTCACCTCATTTTGTCCTACTGAACTTCTGTCTCAAAATCCTTGGATGGGAAATGTGTAGCAGGTGTGAGAGAAAGGGCCCAGGCAGCAACCTGGACCCCACCATGCATTGGACAATGGCTGTAACATCATCCACAGATAAAATGCTACCACAATTGTTTGTAAAATGGTCATTGTGACACACATTAGATGAAGAAGAATTCATACTGTGAAGACACAAAATGAAGTTGTACAAGTGAAAAATTTGAAAAGTCTCACAATGAGAAAAAAAGAGGTTTGAAAAGGACATTGCTGAAAAAAAAAGAATGAAGTCCTTCGTGTGCAAATGTAGGGGAGCTTTTGTGCAAGGAGATGCAACACACTTCTATTGATGGAGGATTTTGCTGCATGATGCATCATCATAAAGTAGTGCAATTTTAGGTGGGAGTTTGCACAACACTGGTGGCATGCAAGATCAGGCAGATGGCAGGACCTGAAGAGGAAGATTGTCTCCTGTGTATGGAGGTGAGTGCTCATATTGGAAAGTACTGAAAGTCATTATCATGAAAAGTTAATAACAAAATGGGGTTGTTTCGATTTCCTTGTTCTTTTTATTCTTATTTTTACAGTACAGTATTAGACGTTTGCTCCATCTACATAAGAGTTAAAAATAATACAGTACCATTTTACTCTTAAAAAATAATCTGAAATACATATAAAAATTGATAATTCATGGAAGCGTATGGCATCTTGTTCAGAAAAAGATATTAAATACTTTTAGTGAGTTACAAGATATGTAGTTATCACATTTCCAAAGATATAGATACCATATTTGGAAAAACATGATCAGTTCTGTAGTGCATTGTGTTCACAGAGCTTTCAGATTTGTTATTTTTGTGCATGTCCAGTGAAGTGGTACCTGTAACTATGTTGCATTGATTACACTATAATTTCTCAGCAAAACTGACATAACATATCCAATGACACATTTAATTTTGTAAGACTGACAATATACATTACTGGAGCAAAGAAAAATTATCACATAAAATCACAATGCCTCGGTAACTATAAAGATATTTAAATTAACATGCAGTTATAAAATATGAATGAAATTTACAACTGATAATTTGTTTTATTTTTCACTATATAATATACCACATCATGTTGATGCATCAATAAAAAAAATACAGTTCATAACTGTAAAAACATTATTCATTAATGGACTAATGAAAAAAAAATCCAAATATATTTTCCATAGTTTTCACTGGAATGAAATACTGTATTTAATAGGCTGAATTAGCATGTATCAAGTGTTAAATACCCGAATAGTCAAATGGCAAGATTATTACAAAAGAAATGCTCTTGTCAAACAAATCTAAAACAATTTTAGTTGTCAATAAAGATACTGACCATTGTTTTATCTTACAATAGACATACAACTGTTATCTATGAAATTATGAGCCACCAAAGCAAGAATGTAAACATCCATGAAAGTTTACAAAAAAAAAATCATACAAAACAGGGAATCATCTTTGACAAAAAATATGCTATATAGTATTCTTTACCCTATTTCACTGAAATACCATTTAACATGTATGTGTAGGTAAAGTTAATTATAAACATTTTTTTAAAGTAAAGGAGATTGGGTTTGCACTACAAATAAACATTAATCGAATGAGCTACCAAAGCTCCTTCCAGGGAAACCAGTATCCTAAACACAATCTTAGTAGACTTAATGGTTAGCAGTCTCATTTCTCAATGCAATGTGAATAGGCAAGTACATATTCTACACTGTATTTATCAAACAAACACCATACTATAAAATCACTTTCTGGCCAGGACAAATCCTTATTATTTTCAGATAGGTGTGGCAATTTGTTTACACCTACAATTTCCTAGTAGTAAGTTTGATAAAGTACAACACATTGCTTGAGCTGAAGGATTCAAATGACAATGTGTGTGCCTTGTCTTATATAATAAGGTGAAAATAGTTATTAACAAGCAATTTTCATACATATAATTGTGGCACACACACAAACTTCAAATAAGTAATGATAACAGTCTCCAGCTTATTTAAAATTGTGTGAATATTTATTTCAACATATTTTTTTCATCATCAAGTTCCCTTAATAATGCGTAAGAAAGATGCACTATGAACAGAACTGAACCCCAAAAGGAAAAACTGTGGCAGTGCCCATGAACACAGATAAAGAATGGTAAAATGCTCTTCTAATAAAACAATTTTAAACATATTTTCAGTCCAGTGAATATTACAACTTTTCGAAAGAAGACATCCATTGTTAACTTGTAACCAATAACTGTAACGCAAGCAGTTTCACTACTTGGAGCACTACCAAAGATATGTTAACCAGTTGAGAGGAAACAAACCCTAGTGCATATTTTTTCTTGTATGAACAAATGTAACTATCAAAAACTGGGAATAAAATTAATACTCTCTAAAAACATTCTTTGGTAGTAAGTTCTTTCACCTATATATAACAGAATTAAGATATGAAATGTTTAAATATTAGTACAACATTTTCTGTACAAAGAATACAACTACATTTTACATACCTAATAAAACTGAAAACACTGATTTCGATGTAGATACATTTGCTATAACGATTACAAGTAGGTTAGTGATTATTGTTTAAAAACGTATATTATATATACATAAACGAATCTTGATGTACCATATAATATAAGATTACATTCTGAATATTAAAACAACCCACTTAGCATGAATATTTAACTACTATGATAACATCAATATTTTGGCAATTTTCTGTTTGAAAAGTAACTTATTCACTAAAATTGTTTACACAATCAAACATTGAGAATGTTTATTAAAAATATATATTAAAGTAAATAAAAAAAAATAACATTAACAGAAAAGAAATGCAGTTGACATTCCTCAGATCAAAAGGATGATAAATACACTGATAAAAAAGTCACTATACATAAAACATATATACAAAACAGTGACAAACAGATAAGTTATTAATATCAACTACAGCTCAAGTTTCATGCAAACTTTACAGGTACGGACAACGTTATTGAAAATTATTCCAATGTCAACAAACCAACTACTGTATTATGCTAACTGCCTAAGAACTCAAATAACATTAAACTTCCACTAAAGATATATAAGTTATGGTTTGTTGACATTGGAAATATAATATTTTTGATAACGACTTTAATGCAAGTAATTTAACTTTACATGTCTTTATTTTAAGCTACTGACCCTAACTGATGGTTCACACTAAGCAGATATAATATGAATGCTTATCAGTGCAATGTTTAACATTACGATTGTAGAGGTAAAATATAGTTTCAGTGATACCAGTTCAAGTCTATTTGTAACTAGGAGCATGAGGGTTTATAATATAAATGATATGCATAAACCTTATCATTTTTAGCTTCAAGTATTTTCATCATTTTTAACTTTTACTCCATCAGATGGTAAAAATTTGATCACAGCTCAAAAGCTTACACATTTATTAACTTTAGAGATGAAAGATAATTTTCTTCCTTAAGTACAAAAAAAAACTGCAAATCTATCAGATTTAACTGTTAAGGCACAAGAAAAGTATTTGTGCAAATTGCTTTAATTTTTGTACACCAGTCTTTCTAAATATGGCCCATACAATTAAAAGTAACTAATACTATATTTTAATATAAATTAATGGTTATACATCCAAGTGTAGCTTAAGACCGCTCATAGAAATACAGTTTTTGCATTTGTGTAATTATATATCCAAATACAGGTTTAACATCTATATAATTATATATCCAAAAACAGGTCTAACATCTATATAATTATATATCCCAATACCAGTATTACATTTATATGATTATATATGTAAAAACAGGTTGTACATTTATATAATTCTATATATCCCAATACCAGTCTTACATTTATATGATTATATACCTAAATACAGGTCTTACATTTGTATAATTAAGTCTACAGTTTCAGGTTTAAATATAAGTCTTAAAGATATAGTTTTATGTTGAAATATAAACCTTAGAGATTTACAGTCACACATGCAAATATCGGCTTTACAGATAGTGAGATGTGTGTGTCTGTACATCCAAATGTATATACCTCTACTTAAATGTTCAAGCATAAAGCTTTCAGGTCCAAACACGAAACTTACAGATCTATATTTCAGGTTCAATTACAAACTTCATAGACATATATTTCCAAATACAAGCCCTACGTTTACCCCAAGGTTTACGTTTTCAGACAGGGCTATTTTCAACCCTATCATAAGAAGTTACAACTTGTTAACAAATCACAACAATCCTATGGGTTCTACCAAAGATATATTTTCTGTATCCAACTAGTTACAATTTAACATTACCTGGTACCATAATATTTTACTTAGAAAACTTCATATTAAGAGTTTCAGATATGTTACTATACCCTTTGAGTGTCCATGTCCAGTTCTTAGTTCAGTGACAAGTTAATAAAATTAACATAACACAAACTTGATATGAAATATTGCTATTATTCAGGAGAAGGACATGAACTTGCATGCATATATCTCATATGTTGCTTTGTGTTCTTAGATGCACTTTAATAAAAGCATGGTGGATTTAATAATTTTTCCTAAGTTGCGAGTTGAACCTTAAAATATTCCATTACAAAACTTAAAGAATTAGGTATAACAAATTGCTATGGTATTCATACAAAATAAACCTAACCTTAACAATAAGAATGATAAATCATTTTTTTATACTTGTAACTAACAGCTACACACACATTTAGATAGAATAAGAGTTTTCTGGTTACCAATACGGAATTATGTGAAAACAAAAACACAGTATTCCTTATCTAAGAAACACATACATTAGAAGTATGAAATCTTATTAGCAATATAGGTTACATACAGCATGGTTTACACAGGGTTATTCATTGTTATTTAAAACACATATTTTAGAAGTATGAAATCTGATCTAATTAGTAATGTGGATTACATATAGCATTGCATTAGACAATATTGTTCTTCCTTATTTAAACACACACATACATTAGAAATATGAAATCCATTCTGATTAGCAATGTGGGTTACATACAGCATCCTTTACATAGTATTATTCTTCCTTATTTAGAACCAAACATCAAAAGTAGGAAATCTGGTCTGATTAGCAATAAGGGTTACATAAAGCACATTTACACAATATTATTCTTCCTTAGTTAAAACACACATACAATAAAAATAAGAAGTCTGGTCTGATTAGCAATGTGGGTTATATAGGGCATGCTTTAAGTTGTTGATATGTTTTCATAATAATGGCAGATTTCATATTTTTAGATATACATTCATTCAAATAATTAAGTGCATAACATTGTAAACAATCTTATTTAGTACCATTAACATTTAGAATACAAGTACACTTCCCATGCAACAATAATACAATCATCCTTAGAATAATTAGAATCAGAATTTGCAACCAATACATTACATTTTTGTCTACAAATTGTATATTTTTTTATGCTATATACTTTAAGTTCTTGCAGAAAGACTAATATTTATTCATAGAAAACATTCTAATCAGTCATCAACAGAAAAAAAATATAGTAACATCACAAAGATAAATTTTTTTAGAAGTTCTAATCACCAGAAAAACACTTAAAATAGGTAAAAAAACATTCAACAATCTACCAGTGAACAGAAACAATAAATATCAATATGTAGTTAATCAGAAAGTCAGTACTAACACGTGGTAAGTCAAAAACAGTGAATGCCAATATGTAGTTAAACATGATTAAAAGCTTTCTATCAACAACTAATAAACAATTAAGGCATATTTCATAGTCCATTAGCATGCAATATACAATTTGAAGAAATAAAAAAACTAGCAATAGTAAGTACCTATAAATAATTATAACTTTGGTTGGAAACATTTTGATTATTTATTACCAACAAATTACTTATTAACTAAAATCACTTATAACAATGGGTATTGATGTGTAGAAAAATTTTCTATCACAAAAGCTAAAATTATTCTTGAAGCAACTAATCAATATTCAAAAGAAATTTACCAGTTACTATTATTATTATGTAATTATTTGTTTGAACCTTTGAATAGTAATATAACTAAATTAAATCAGTGGAAAAATTGCCTTAGAACACTTAAATTTTGCTATAACCTCTAAATGAATGCATCCCATACTCTAAGTAATCAACAATTATGAAATTATCACAACAGTGAATGTAATATTAAACATTTACTATAAAGTTTGAACAATACTCCTCTATATCACTCGCATCAGATGATCATTCAGTAACAAAGTGTAGTCAATTAAACCTTTTGTTACAAACCCTTAATAAACTATATCCATGTAATAATAATGTAACAACGAGTATTGAGTTCAACTTGAATTATTCATTCTATCTGATATTCACAAGGTAATTAACTAATGACAAATTACATAATTCTACATTTTTATTTATAAAACATTTACACATACTAGAAGAGAAAGCTGCTATGAAACCAGCTGTTACACATAACAACTGAGTATGTATGAAAGACACAACATGACGAAAACTTTAATAATACTTAAGAATGTTACATGATGCCAAACTGACTGAAAAAAATAATTACAACTGTAACTGTTGATGTTTTTAGCACAAAGTTTTAATTTAATGTACTCTAAAGACAGATATCATGTTCAACAACTTCACATAATGATACACACACAAAACATCAGTGTTAAATCACAAGCTGTAACATGAATGTGATATCAGCCAAAAAAGAATACCCTGTAGACAGAGATAAAATGAAGGATTGCAGTTTCCAGTATGAAACATCATATGGAAAACTATGGAATATGTCTGGCAAACAGATGACGGTCAAACAAAGAGAAGTTGATTGTACATTTTCCTGAAACTAAAGTAAAAGTATAAAAAACAAACTGGTACTTGGATATTAAAATAATAATACATAGCAGCAACATTGCAATAAAATAATCAACTAACTTGACCTGACATCTATTTTTTTTTTTTATCACAACTGTTAATCACAAAAAACGTTCATTTTAATGAACCTTAGAACTAGTTTAAATCATTTAGTTTATTGCCAGAAATAAGTTAGCAATATAATGATATATCCCTGTTCCACTCTTCCCTTAATTATACTAAATTTAACTAAGAAATGATGCTTATAATGTTAAATAACTTTGGCATCTTTAGGCTTTTGTCATTCTTTGCTGAACTATATCTATTTCTATAAAAATTACCAACTTCTACAATTCTTTTCAAATATAAACAATAAAATGGCCAATGTTATGCTCAACTCAAATATTCAGCAAACTTAAACAAATATACTTCTAAGTGTGGTTTAGCTACATGATGTAGGTTTTTCATACAACTACAATCACAGAGGCACTTATTTCAAGGCCTAAATATACAATATTCTTTTTACTTTTTATAGCTATATAAAGGACTAATATGCACATTTTCAATCCATAATATTTTCTTAAAATATTTCCATATTCAATTAAAATACAATAACTTTCTTATTTTGTCTATTAAAATGTGTGTCCAGAGAAGTGGTCATCAAAAGTTTCTCCAATTTGATTTTCTGACTTGTTACCAAAACTCTGTAATGATCTAGTTTTTATTTGGAATTTTGGTAACTAGTCTTAAAACCACTTTCAGTTTCAATACCCATAGTGGACAGACTACAGATATCCCATTGTGTAGTTTTATACTTAACAACAAACATAAATGGTAATATTTCAATTACTTGGGTATCTGGAATAACTGAGAACCCTAATTTCTATTATTATTTTATATTATTTTAGTGAGTCGTGATGCTAAACAATTAAGCTGAACAAACCTGAATTAACTTAAAATAATAATAAATCATAATGATAATATTTCAATAACTGGATAATCAGAATAAACAAAAACACTAACTTTAATTAGCTGATTATTTTAGTTAGTTGTGATACTAATTAATTAAGCTGAACTGATTTAAAATAATAATAAATCATAATGATAATATTACAATAACTGGATGATTGTAATAAACAAAAACACTAACTTTAATAAGCTGATTATTTTAGTGAGTCATGATACTAATCAATTAAGCTGAACAAACTTGAATTAACTTAAAATAATAATAAATCATAATGATAATATTTCAATAACTAAATGGTTGGAATAAACAAAAACACTGATTTCAATTAGTTGATTATTTTTATGACATTATATTTTCCATTACTGGGTAGTTGGAATAATCAAAAACCGTAATAACTGAAAATACTAGTTGATTATTTTCATGACATTAATCAATTTAATCATAATCTCAGTTAATCAACTAATTTGGTTAATTACCTAGCGCTATTGGAAATTGTGAATAAATTTGCCTTAACTTGCTATTCTACTATATCTAATATGTATCAGTGTTAGGATTTGTCTTACATTTACCAAATTTTCCAATATACTTTCTGTTAACAGTTTACTACAAGTCTTTTTTCACATTCCTCATTGGTAAGACCAGTCATAAATCAAGTTAAACAACACAAATTATACAAAGAGACTAATTTATATGATGCTTAAACTGCACATTTAAAAAACATGAACCTTACCTTTTACTTCAGTCAAGGCAGTTACTGTAAAAGTTTTTCTTTAAACAACACTGTTTCCTCAAAAATTAGTTCTTTAAGTCGTTCTTTTGGCAGGTCATCCAGTTCCATTTCAAAACGGAATGGTTCTTCAGCAACAGGCTGCATAAGAAAACTTGTTAATAAATATCTACACATAGCTCACATATTGCATCACTTATCAAAGATTCTCTACTTCCTTTTATGTAACGATATATACGCGTGCGTTGTGTACATGCATAAATATAAGTTATCATTTTCCTAATCTGGAAATGTATTTCCAAACATAGTTACCTCTGCTGACACTTATAGCTATTTCTCGATCTTCATCTTTGCCATCTGAATATCATGATCGCTTGCTCCAGTCTTGATACCCCACTCGACGTCCCTCAGCAACATCTATTTTGCAACACTTTACACTATGCAGGTACTGTATATAAGCACTGTATGTTAACAATATAATCATTTTTTTAAGACTTACCCCATCCCAGTCACTAAAATCGGCTCTTAGTGGGGAGGAAGGGAGGGAGAATGTCAGTGGAGGTAAGAATGTTTGGAAGTACATTTTCAGATTATGAAAATTATAACTTCCAAAACATACATACCTCCGCTGACAATTACAGCTAGAATCCCACACTGAGAAGGCGGAGAGGTTGGTGAGGGCATAGTTCATACAGAAAGCATCTGCATAGAATAAAGGTGTACTATGAGAAGTGGTACCCAAGCAGGGAAAACCGCACTACCTCCAGAACAGGTAGGCTCTACACCCAGAACTACAGAAAAGTGAAAAGGGTGGAATATTACACAAGTAAGTATAATGGGCCAGCCCCAACCATGCAGCCAAGGAGTCATGGTGCCGATATCCCCTGTTGGTAGCCAGGGCAGTTGGACAACAAATATATACATATCTTTGTGATAGGTCTTATGGAACACCTCATCTCGACAGAGCCTGTTGCAACAATGAGCTGATATAAAGGTTGCTAGTGCGGAATTGAAAAAAATACAAGCACACCTGACTGAGCAACACTTGTCACTGAGTGGGATCCAAAGGAAATAAAGAAGGACCCTATATTCTGATCTACAACAGATAGGCTATAGGAATCAACTCCCAAAGTCGCCTGGTTAATGTCACGGGTGATAAATCCAGAGACACTGCAGGATCCCACTAAATAAAAAGCCAGTGCATAGGGCCCCTGAACAGTTCTGTACAAGCCACAGAACATCTAAGTGCTCTGACTGGACACAAAAGATCTGGGTAGGATAGACTGTAAAGATGAGAAATGCATGCCTGGGAAAAGAATAGGAAAAAATAATTTATTCCCTTCTCTGGCAGCGAGAGTGTTCAGTAGGAAGGATTTGTTTCGATAGAGCAAAAAATAGGTGGAAGGATAGAGAGTCTGCTGAACAGGGATGGAAAATAAATCAGAACAGCTGAGTCTGGAAGCTAACAACAATAGAAATATACATCGAGGGAAAGGTGATACAAAGAACAGGAGGCAATATGTTTGAAGGTATAAAATGATAACACAAGAAAAAACAACTCTAAAGTCCCAATTAGGCAATTGAAATGGTCATTTGGGATGAAGAATATGAAACGATCATAAAATGAGATAGTATGGGAGTAAAAAACCTTCGTATACGTAGAAAAGCGAAAGGGAACAGCAAAGAATGTTCTATATAATGCAAAGTAGAAGCCAAATCTTTCCAAAACCCATGTCAAAAACTTGAAACTATGAGACTGTTGGATGAAGTGGGTTGAAGACTTACCGAAGACACCACTGACAATATGTAGTCCATTTCCATCAATAGATTGCCAAAGAAAATTGATGGAGGATATATTCAAATAAATGGAAACTGTAGAATTTCAACCGCTATGGTCAGGCAGAGGACTGCATAACTTCCATGCAGGAGTCGTTAAACGTCCAGGTGTTGAATGTTTGACTGAGGTTGTCTCAACAAGGACGAATGAAAAGGAAGAAGTAAACATTCCTGGAGCAACCATGTCTGAGCAGGCCAAAAAGGTGCTGACAAGAGAACTCAATATGGAGTGAAATGAATCATAGACAAGAGTCTGGGTAAGAGATGAATAGGAGGAAGGCAGACAAATTGAATCCTGTCCAGTCTTGACTGAAAACATCTATTACCAGAGCTTGTGGATGTGGAATTGAAGACCAGAACTGTAGGCTAGCATTCCAATGGGTTGCAAAGGTGTCGATCATTGGAGAGCCGAACTGAGAACAAATCTATTGAAAGACCACCTGATGGAACATCCATGCTGGTGGAAGAATTTGATGGGGTCAAGAAAGGTGATCTGCTATCAAAATCATAACCCCTGGCACATGAAAGGCCAAAAGATGTATGTCATTGGAATGAGCCAAAAAAAAAGAAGATCCAAAGCCCGAAAACCAAGACATCAAGAATGAGAACTTCCCTGACAAGAAAGATATGAAACCACCGTGGAGTAGTCAGAATGAATTGTAACCATTTTGTTGTGCAAGAGAGGAAGACCTGGAATTATCACAAGATGTACTGCAAGAATTTTGAGAATGTTGATATGCAGGGTAGATTCGTAGTCAGTCCAAATACCCTAGAATGCCTATCCCAGAAGAAAGGCACCCCATTCATGAAGAGAAGCATCCATGAAAAGATGGATTTCCACATGAGGAGGTGGTATCCAGACCCTGATATTAGTGTTGTACTGGTCTAGCCACCACTTGAGATCTGCAAATTGTTCAAGCAAAGAGACTGTGTGATTTGGGCCTGATCCAATGGTATGAGGGATTCTAGGGAAGCCCAAATCCCCAAATCAGACAGAACCATCCATGCAGTGGGAGAAGGTGACATAAGCAAATGCCTGACAAACCCTTCCCTATCGTGAAGTCTGAGGGAAAAAGGTTGAGCTCGACCCAAAGTGCATTGAAAAACACCCCAAGATGGACCATGTATGGAGTTGGTGAGAGAATGGATTTTTCCAACCTGATATGAAGTCCACCCTTCTGGCATCAGTAAAAAGAATCTGCGGATGTAGTGTGGTAACGTGACAGGTTGGTGCCAAAAGAAGTCAATCTTCCAAATAGCAATGTGTGCACAGATCCAGAAAATGAAGATGCTGCTCAAAGGCCTGTATTACTCGGCAGAAAACACATGGTGCTGAAGCAAGTCCAAACGGGAGAGCTTGGAACTGCTATATCTGGACCTTGTGCAAAAAATGTAAAAATCAACAAAAAGACTCTTGCTATGGGGATGTGAAGGTAGGCATCTGTAACATCAAACTTGGTCATCCAAAGATCAGGTGTGAAGTGCCATTAAAGTTCAAGAAAAGATTTCATGGTGAAACATAGAGGCTGTAGGAAGAGGTTGAGTCGAGACAGATTGATGATAAGACATCAATCTCTAGTGTTCTTGGTCACCAGAAAAAGAAAAGAATAGAATCCTGGATGAACAGGATTGACCTTCTGAATGGGAAGACACAAATGCCACTGGTGCCATCCTGACCTTTCATAGATCCCCGAAAATATAGATTGAACCAATTCTGTAAAACAACAAGACTAGGTGTCGAATGTGGGGGCTGTGAGATGCGAATGATCGATCCTCCAGAATTACCCATTGGAGTAGAAGAGAGGTGAACAGCCACTGACGATAAAGAAAACAACAAACATGTCGTATAAAATCGGGCTTCCAAAGTTTCAGGTACTCCAGCAAACTAGTAAGGCCAAAAAATGGGGCAACTCCCAGAAATCACAAAGAGGAGTATCACAATACAGTAGTAAGAGTTAAATGAATCTGTGAAAATGGAGACCTGGAACTCCATAGATCCAACAACAAATCCAACTGTTGAGTGTCCAAATATACTACAGCCAGACAATAATAAGCGAGGGCATGTTGTTCTGATAAACGAGGGAGGCAAGGCATAGCAATACTCTCTCATAATTGCATTGCAAACATCCCAGTATACATGGCACTATCAGGGGAAGGAGGAAGAACTAAGTATACCCCCAAGATCTATCTGACAACAAGGCAGGGTAGATTCAAAAGCAAGGGGAGAATCCCCAAAGCTTCACAAACTCACATAACTAATTGCAGAAAAGAAGCAGATGGTGGACAATCAGATGAACCTGCAGTAGAGGCAGCTCTAGTGAAAGAAGGAGCAGAAAACAGTCTAAATTCTCCCCAGTATATTCAGGTTCATGATGAAAAGCCAACTCTGAAACCCCATAGAGAAACCCCCAGGCCACATGAAGGACCAACTCATCCCAAATCAGGTCACGGACAGCCTCCACCCGAGAGTGGACCCCACTTCCACGAGACAACAAAGGAAGAATGGACGAGGTCTGGTTAACCCCCCGTACCAGAAACTGTTACATGGGAATTCATCCCCCCTCTTTTTATGTTTGTTTTTGAACCACAAAATAAAAGCAACGAAATATCAGCAATGGGAAAAAAACAACAACATCATACTACTGTCAAAATGCTTCGAAAGAAAATGTTAATCACAAAACATAACTCCCGGCACTAGTGCTTTGTCGAGAAAAAGTGATTATATACAGTACCTGCATAGAGTAAAGTTTTGCAAATTAGATATTGCTGAGGGCAGTCGAGTGGGGTATCAAGACTGGAGCAAGCAAACATGATGTTTAGTTGGCAAAGATAATGACTGAGAAATAGCTATAAGTGTCAGTGAAGGTATGTATGTTTTGTAAGAAACAGATTAAACAGAGATACAAGAATAATACTCTCACATGTTTGCAAATTATCCTGGTTATTGTTAAAAATGATAATCACAATATTGTTTTTCTGATGTAACTTTGGTGCTAAGCAATCTATTGTAAAATATGTAAAAACTAGAATATTTGCAGATAAGCTCATTACAAATAGCAGGAAGATCCAGGCTACAGTATTTCTTAAAGTAGGTGTATCCACATATTTTATTTTGATGTAGTGCTTCTCTAATTTATTTCTTTTTAAAAGTGAATTCTTTGTGTAACATAATTAATGAAGAAGGATTTTGATAGGTTGTATGATTTCAAATACACAATTATATTAAAACTTTCCAACATTAACATAAGCTTTTGAAACAAGTTTCACAATTATATTTCAGGAATTATAAAAATACATAATTCTTAGTTAACTCTTACAAATACACTTAATGCAACAGTTTTAAGCCCTGTATATTGAACTATTCTATAATTAGGCTTCAACATTATATTCATACTATTGTGTTTACACTAATTAAATCAATATTTCAAAAAACAACAACAACATGCAAACAAATATAAAAAAGCTTTACATAAAGAATATGGAGAAAACATCATACTCATATTAAACACATTGTTATCAGGGTTGAGAAACAAATAACTAGTGCATACATTCACAAAAATTATAATAAATGTCAAAACACAAACTGTGAAATGAAACAAGCAAAAATATAAAAATTGCATGAATTAACAAAAATTTTACACATTTTGAACAGAAATTTTAATTATCACCTCATCATCAGGATCATAATACTGCTGAAGATAAGGATGGGCTAGGGCATCCTCTAAAGTGATTCTCTTGTGAGGATTAAAGGTCAACATTCTGTCCAAAAGATCAATAGCTAGCAAAGAAAAAAAAAGCAGTTAAATTTATACTTAATTAAAATAAGTGATTTGTCTTAAAGTTGTTTTTTTTCTTTGCACAGGGAATGTGCAAAGAAATATTTAAATTTAATATTTATTTCTAATTATTTTAACAATATTATAAGACAAGCCTACTAGCCAAGTATTACCATCCAGATTTAGAGAAAAATAAACACTGAGAGAGAAAATTAAAACATTCTACAACTGTAACTTATCTCTAATGCATATTAACACCACATTTTTAATATTAGAAAACTAAGGTAAGGATACCAAGAGGTTACTCATGTATATAAATTTTGCTAACTTCCTGTTCTTTAAGCTTCTGATTTCCACTATATTTTAATAATGAATTTTGAAATAAATAGTACATTAAGTACTTAGCTTAAAGAACCATGGAAATCTGAATATACACACAACACTCAGGTAATTTTCAAGATGACTTTTTGGAGTTCTAGAACGGATTGTGTCAAAACACTGTCATCAAGTAACATGACCATCAATTTATCACTAAATTAGATATGACCAATACTGAATTCTTTCATGAAATTCTTGAATTGATTATGAAGCTTTCATTTAATTATACTATGTATCAATGATAAGCATATACAAAGATGTTTTGATTTATAAGAAAAAGATTTAATTTCTTAGAAACGACCACTCATCTACCCATCTTCTGTAGGTGATATCTGTTGCTAACTTGAATCATGAAAACTAACCAGTAATTGAGAAGTTGAAAACAGTGTTACAGTACAATATTGGCCATCGATATGGTGTAATGAAAACGGATATTTAAACTGTTATTTTATACAGTGAAAAACTAAAATGTACAAAAAGTTAATTCTATAAGGACACACATAGTAGCAACATCTACTACCTTGAGGATTAGCTCCTGCATATAACTTTTCCCATGGAACTTTGGGTTTAGATGGAAGAGACTGGAGGTAGCTCCGAGCCTAGGAGTATTCATACATCATTAAATTTCTGTTCAGCTTATAATCACATGTTGCTTTCTGCACATATATTAATTTGTAATGGAGATGACAGAGGAAGCCCATGTAGTTTGAATCAATTTAATAGTTTAATTTGGGGAAGCATTCTAATGAACAGTTTCAAAACAAGGATGGTACTAGTACAACAGCACACGTTATTCTAGATTTACTTGAGTATAGCATAATTTAAGTATAAGAACTTCAATGTAATACTTAATGATCAAACATTTGTTATTTCATGGACTTTGTAACTCAGGTCTCCAAGCTACAGGTTTTAAACAACATAATGAAATTTAAAATTGATTCTACTACATGTGCAAAATATATTAATATAAACCTTATGCAACTGCTACATAAATAAGATAATTCAGACTGTGTGCAGAAAAAATTTTAAACAGCTGCTGACATTAGAACTTGCTTTTAATTTCAATAAGTTTGAACTAAAAAATAAAAAACTGAAGTTTGTTGCCATATCTATTGATATCTGGTAATAAATTAATTTTTCAGTTTTTTATTTTGTAGCCCAAAATCCTGTTGAAAGATGAAGGTACATGAAGAATTAGAAATATTCTTCTGGAAGAAAAAACAAACATTCTGTTAAATAACTTGAAGTACAATAAGCAGCATGAAAATGACCAGAAGAATTCTAGAGAAAATACTGAATTTGTTCAACATTTTGCTTTACAGCTAATTTGATGATATTCTATTCAATTTCTCAAGCTTAACTGACAGAATTAGGCTTTGAATGATTTAGGAAAAGCAGAATATTTTTAACATAATACACCCCTTAAAATGGATACCCATTTTCTTGTTTGATCACTAGAAAAGATCCATGTTACTCGTTGCAAGGATGAACAAAATTAATAATGTTGATCCTGTATATTAAGGTAGGAAAATATTCAGGTGCTCTATAAACAACTAAAGAAAGAAAATAAAAGCCCCAGTAGATCATTTTTGACCATATTTTAAGTATGTAGTAATGTTTTAGTTGAGAATATTTGGTAAGACCTTTGTGATCCTCAGTTCTAAACTTTATATTTGGTAAGACCTTTGTGATCCTCAGTTCTAAACTTTGTATACTGATAACTATGTGGTTATTATTTAACTAGTTGAATCCTGTCATGTGACAGTAAATGCTGATTAATTTTTCTTCTGAAAATTAAATCAAAATAAATGTCTTAAGACCAAGTTTTCTGAAAATTAATTATATTGTAGTAGCAATATATATATGGATGGATACTTTTTATAGTATTTCACAAAATCACTGCTACCTCAATTAGCACTACAAAAGTTGAACTCCAAATATAACTTTAACTTTTAAAAAACATTCCATTAATAAATATGCTTACAAAACTAATTACTTTTTTAAAATATTGATAATTTTGTTTAGAAATTCCTGTTAGGGTGAGAGTAATATGTCTACAGAATTATGAATATTTTTCAGTGAAAAACAAACTTTTCAATAACTTGAAACATAACGTTTCTCACAAAACAAGCAGTCTTACCTTTTCGTTGATTATACAATTAAAGTCTTCTTGAGATGGAGAACCAAGAATCCCAAGGATTAAGTTTAACTGATCTAAGTCTGGAATGGAAGACCATATTGAAGCCATACATTTAGCTGAGTTATGTTTATATGTATAATAATGTGGAAAAGAAAATTACATTACCAAAAACTACTTAAAATGGATCTTAATATTCCAATACCACACACACGACAAAACAGAAAAAAATCTGTAAAACAATCATAAATGCAAGCAGATACTATTGTATTAAAAATATCACTAAGTACCTCTCAAATAAAAGAACTAACATGAATTATACGAATAAAATATTGAACTGCTAAAAAACATATAAACCTGTACTATTGTGGTAAAGTATATCTACACTAATATGTTCCCAATCAAGTTTTTATCCCTACAAGAGATTAGCATCTGACTACTTGAAAAGGAGATTTGCAGTCACTTTACTAGAACTGACTTCTTAATCAGTCATCACTTCTGCTCTAAAGGGCATAACTAAGAAAAATTGGGTCTACTTATACTTTTAAGATTAAAATGTTAATCAAAGCAGGTGGTTTTATCATGGTGGTTATTTTTTTCAACTTAGTTTGTTACCGTGTGTCTTAATAAATTTTGATAATACTTTTTACAGTATAATCAAGCCTTCCAACAAGCCCCTCAGGAAAAGTAACGACTTCTGTAGGGAGAGTATTAGTAATATAGAGCAAGTATTTGAAATAACATAGAAGAATTAATCACTGTACTAGATGAGCAAGTACTAGCAGAGAGTGTACTACTGCTGACTAAAAGCACAATTCTGCTGGATTTGTTTCCTCTCTCTGTTTTTGCCAATTAGAACTAAACTTTACCTTAGCAAGTTCTTTGTATTTATCTCCTTGTGCATATTTCAAAATTTGCTGTTTGCCACCATTATCACAAGCTATTGTCTTTTGACAAATACTACAGAAACAGTTAAATTGGTTATTTGGCAATGGCTGACACCAACATGAAAGTTCATGACCATTATTGTCTATACAAGTTAACCAATGGTGTTGGAATTGTACTTTTTCATATGGCATTTCAGTCTTCTACATTATCCTGATTATATAAAAATTGTTAAAGAGGTTGTCTCAAGCATCATTGCCATGAACACAAATTGCACAAGCAATACAACACCAAGTGCATATATGTTAGATCAGCATAAAACTAATAATACCTATTAAAATTATCAGAATCTAGCTATTTCAGAACATGACTGACAGAGACATGCATAATTTCACACATGAAAATCAAACAATGTGCAGCTAAAACTTGCAAATAGTAGCCATGACAAGAAGTCCAATTTCACAAAAGCTGGTGCATGTGCTTCAGCTTGAAAACTCAAAACGTATTGAGCTGAAAGAGTATTTGATCATTCTTTAGTTATTCTTCATTGAAATGGAGGTTATGTTCACTCGAAAGTCACTTACCAAAAAGCAGAGAAGACAATTTGCTCATTTTGTGAATAAAAGAATCTGCCTCTGATGCCACCAAGAAGACATAACTTGCACAAACCACTAGATTCTGATAAACTTAGCTGTCTTAAGTTAACAATGGGGGCAGTTAGACTATACTCACAATATAACTTTTTGTGTTTTTGTGAGAAGTTTTGTATTTCATGCTGAGCTAAATAAAAATTCAGTTAAAAAACAGCAGGAAAAAAAAATAGGAATTTCACCTAAAAATAACAGAAAAATGGGGAGCCTCAAAAAAGTAGTGAAAAAGTAGGAAAGTATAGTGCATTGGAAAGTCTGCATACTATTACCAGTTGAGATGTTTCAAAAATTTGCTAAGAAATAAAGATATTATCAAACATAATGCTAAATGATTTTGTAAAAAAATCTCTGTGGAAGTACTGAAGAAATCATTCATGACAGGAAAGGATGAACCACTGGTTCAAATAGGCCAATTTCAACTCCTTATTAACAATCTTTATATGTTAAAAAACAAATTTTACTGATTTCATTGTGTTTGACAGCTAGAATGCTTATCCTTCTTACCAATAGTGAGATGTGAAATTAAAATACCTAAGTACAACAAATGTATATAACACTAGCCCCCAGTGCTAGAATCCGGGTTTCGATACCCGTGGTGGGCAGAGCACAGATAGCCTATTGTGTAGCTTTGTGCTTAATTACAAACAAGCATATAACACTATGATATTTAATCAAAATAAACTTACTTCCAGCAGTTAGCAGTTTTCTCAGCAAAACATATTAACCATACAGGCAAAAGCTTAATACAAACTTTAAAAATACATGATAATAGTAATATTTTATCTAATAATCTGAAGCAAAACTTACAATGCTTCCCTGGAAAAATAGCTTTATTAGATATCATTTCAGCAAGGATGCATCCAACAGCCCATATATCAACTAAATTAATATATTAAGGAATAAAACCAGCACAATATTTGATTGAGGATGTCAAATAACCTCATGACATTTATCAATAAACATACACAATTTGCATATTATATTTGCACTGGAACAACACAATATTAGCTATTGCACAAACTATATCATAGCGCTCAAGAGAAGATGTGTGTTAAAACTTTGCAAGTGAAATGTACATTAAAATGATCAATACTAAACTGTGTAGAAGACAATAAGTAACTTATGCTCTAAGATAATTGGTGGAATAGCTAAATGATCTAAAGAAAAATTCCATTACGTTCAGGTATGATGAACAAGAATTTAGACAACACAAAATATACAAAAAAAAACATGAAATATATAAAATACATAAACAAACTCAATGAGTTCAAGTTACAAAATTTTTTAAACAAAATTAGAAGAGCAGAAAACATTCTCCAAGATAATAATCAGTCTGGTTTTATTTAAAATGAATGGTTACATATTCATATCCTATTCACTAGTATGCCAGGAAGTTCTATACAGTAAAATAGGGATTATTATCTACTTTTGGGATGATTACTAAAACAAATGGAATTTCAAATACTTTTTATTATTTTATTTTATATTGATGTGTAATCTTTAAATTATGTTTGTCGTGATTGATACATTAATATGAATTTCAAAATTTTGGCAAAAATGTTACACATACAGTAATCTAAGCATGTCCATTTCTAATTTTGAACTAAAAGACTAGGAGGAAGGAGGCTATTTAAAAGTATCTACTGCCAGCTCTTGGACTATGCTCATCTGACCAAACTATCGAATTTCAGTGCCCCTCTTATAGCACACCCATGGCCCCAAAGAATGGAGCATATTTTTGTGACAATATGCCCTGAAACATAAACCGTCTGATTCAAAGTTTAAGCTAGATACCCACTAAGCCACATCCAGCCCACATGTGATTTTGTAATCATGTTCATCAAGACTGTTATGAGAAGTACTATATATGATCATACATTAATGTTAAGATGAGGAAATCTGACACTTATCATAACTCTGAGTAAACATTTTTTGTAATATCTTAAAAGACATAACCACCACAACCAAGCTTTTTCAATACACAAAAACATCACAAAAATTCTTTATGCTAAAGGATACTCGACTTTGTATAGCCTTTACTATTTAGCATGATCTCTGGAGCACGATACCACCTGGTGGCAACATACTCTGTTAGAAATCCTGTGTGATCATGATCTGGATCAGCAACACGAGCCAGGCCAAAGTCACAAATCTGTTGAGAGATAAACTGAGTGTACAATAACTTATACTTACCACTCTGTTTCAGTGTACACATCTTATGGATAGATAATGAAATGCAAAACTCAATATATCAAAGGATTTGCTAATGAATGCACCACTGAAAGATGACAATATACAAGTGTAAAGTAGACATAAAATTTGTCAATTTTTCTTTGTTATGTAATCCAACATCACATTTCCATGGTTTTCATAAGGAAATTTTTTAAAAACAAGACAGGAAAATACAGATCTTGCATGAAAAACTAATTTTATAACAATTCTCAAGTAATTCCCAACAATCTAAAAAATATTTATACATATTTTATTCACCTAAAATAAAAATAAAACTAAGAGAAGAAAAATTGTTTCAAATTGATAAAGTGAATTTTACAAACTATATTATTTTTTCGTTACAAGCATACATGTATACGATAGAATAAATACAATTACCTACCTATTTTTTTTCAATCAAAAATACAGTTACAAGTCCCTCCGAGATTATTTCTACTACATTAAATATTCTTTTCTATTCATGTTGCAGAACATGTGCTACTGAAGAGCAATTAATGTTTTATTCATCATTACAACAGGATATACAAGGCTTACAAATGGTTAAATTAGTACACACTTTAAAATCATGAGAAGTATTGAGATCACAAGGTTTAATTTTGGTTGAAAGAATTACTAAAGTTTTATTCATAATCATGTCACAGAAATGTTGAAAAGAAGATTACTAAATTTTGATGGAATAAATAATTAGTTTTTATTTACATTTAAGTGATGGAAAGTGTTGTGAAGATTATTATTAAATTGAAATCTTGGTGGAAGAATAATTAGACTTTTATTTATCTTTACGTCACACAAACCATTGAGAAGAGAATATTACTGGAGTTCAATCTTGGTAGAAGAATAATTAAAGTTATTCACCTTTAAGTCACAGGAAGTGTTGAGAAGAAGGTTACTAGGCTTTAGATCACGATGGAGTACATTAGCTGAGTGGATATATTTCAGCCCACGTAAGATTTGATAGAGGAAGTAACAGATATGGTCATTACTTAACCTCTGAGTTTTCAGTAGCTTGTACAGGTCAGTCTCCATCAGAGTTTGAACAATATAGCTATGTAAATAATAGTAAATGTAACAGAAACTGGCATGGAATAGTAAAAATTACAAAAAAGAAATGATAAAAATTTATTTTTTCCTAAAATGTTTATTAAAATATCCAAACCTTTATCATTTTTCTTTTTATATTTATTTTACAACTATTGTTACAGAAGAATCAAGAACAAGTTTTACTTCCACCAAAATTATAGTAGTCAGATGCTATCAGAAAATTTTTGGTGTTTCATAGAATAGGTTATTATTATTTCACATAATAGCTCTTCAACATTAAGGATACACATCTTTCATAAGTTCTATGGAGGGGGCTCGAAGAATGTCTTTGATATCGATGATCTGTAGAAAAAAAAACAAAAAAAAACAGAATTTAAATTTCATGAAACTTTATAACATACAAAAAGAATTATAATACAAAACTACTGTGCTCTAAAATTCAAAAATCATGTTCATTATTTCTCTGGTAATAATAGTTTATTATAGATCTGTGTAAAACAATACATCTACATGGATGTAAAAGTCAAATACCACTATGTTGGTTTAGTTCAGAGTTCAACATCAAAACAATACTTTTGACCATGTTTGATTTCAACAGGTACAAACTTGTAAATTACAAGTTGAAGTATATGATTTACTATTAGAAAAAACCTTCATAAGTATTCCTTCTACTAAAGTATCATGGAAATTTGTAATTCATTTCTCATCCTCTGCATAATGGTACTTCAATCATGTTAGTATTACAGCCAGGAACATCGAAAGCCAGCACGGGCCCCGGGGCAAATATCCTCGCCGAGCCCCATTTCTCTCTCTCTCTTTTTTAACATTTTCAAGAATTTAATTAAAAGAAGATCCTAAATTAGGATAGCAATGAGCTCATAAGCCAGACAAAAATCATAGCAGTAGCCATTTTTACCTCACAGTATAAGAATAAAAACGCTAATAAAGTAACAACAAATCTATAAAGTAACAAATACATATTAATTATTACTCAAATTATTAGTTCAGTTGTTCTTAATGTATCAAGCGTCTATA